CGGAGGGCGAGGAACGGGGCTGTTGTCTTCCTTGGTGAGTTAGGTTTACGGGTGATTGGCGTCGCTGAAACAAATTCCTATGCGCTTCTCCTCCTACTCAGAGGTCCCATACGCGCTCCCCCCTGTCCGCTTTTCGAACCCACAACCGCTCCCGGATTCATACCGATACGAGGACGAGAAGAAGGAGTTTGTGCATGAATTTGCTTGTGCGTACCCGTACCCGTCCGCGTCCATCCTGCTTCTTCATTCCAAATTGCTCATTTCGTTCTGCCATATTGATCGCGAACACCGTCTCGTCTTGATGCCCTTTCTCTCTTTTTCTCCATTCTCGTCGGCACATACTGATGCTCATCTCTCTTTTGTTCCCTTCCTCGGGATGGCTGTATTTGCATTGTGGCTGGCTGATGGCTGATCTGCTCACCGCAGATGCAGTGCAGCCTGGAAATGACGGACAGTCCGTAGGTGCGTGGGCTTGATTTCACTAAATTTTTAATCTTCTTCTTGAGGGATTCGCCTTATGCGGGGATTCGCTACGAGCATCTCGAACTCTTCTAAAAAATCTTGCTTCTTTTCAAAAGGAATTTCCCGGAAGGACCACCTGGGGTTGGGAGAGCCGTCTGAAAATCCGTACGTGCGATCTTCCGTTCTTGTTTGTCGTGGTCTGTATTTTCGAAGAACTTAATTGAACGATGAAACAGACTCTTCGTGAACATCGTCCTGCCGCCGGCGTTCAACAATCAAAGTTCGCCGCCATTGTCAGAGTCCGCGACCAAAAGGTTCCCCGTCAGGATCTACATCCATGGAGGGTAAGTGTCATGCATATTTTCTCAATCATTCAATCAACTTTCCTCCGAGCCCGTGCTTCGAGCTTCGTGTTTGCGCCTCTCCCATCATCCTTCGCGATGAACTTGGCGCCAACATCAGCTTCTCTCTTCTCCGAAAATCCAGCCCACTCCCGAGATCTCCGCCGCCATCTTCTTTCTTTCGAACTTCTCATCCCCGCTCTCATTCGTATTTTTGGCACTTACCAAATCGGTACATTCGCCTGCAATCGCTCACAATCCCAATATTCAGGTTTCTCCAATTCGGGTCTCCGCACTCGCTGGGCTCGCAAGCTCAATACGTCGCCGCGGAGCGGAACGAAATATGGGTCAACGTCGGGTATCGCCTGTCCGCCTTTGGGTTCCTTGCGTGCGACGCGCCGACGAAGATAGACGGGAATTTTGGCTTCAAGGATCAGTGGTTGGCGCTGGAATGGGTGAGGGAGAATATTGAGGCGTTCGGAGGTGGGTGGTCGCCGACTGTGGATGTTTGATATTGAATTGGAGAACTGAAGTTTTCGTCTTCATCTTCTTCGTGTCATCCACTTGGAAATTCTAGGTGACGTGGATGATATACAGGTTACGGGCTTGTCAGCGGGTGAGTAACAACGGCGTCAGCTGAAATCTTTCTTCGAGTTTTGCTTGCCAACTCACAATTACATGACGGCGCATTCGAAGGTGCACACTCTGTCCACCAAATTCTACATCATGCTTCGAGGCTACCGGCAGGGAAGAAGGCTCCCTTCACGAGTGCGATGTTGCAATCCAACGCGATGGTGTAAGCATAAATGGGTTGTTCAAAAGAAAATAAATTCCTTCCGCTTACCGCTCTCTGTTTCTATCCTACGTTCACAGGAGCGTCCCAAAAACGCCTTCCGAACTAAGGCCCCAGTTCGAAGCACTCTGCACGGCGCTCTCGCTTGACCCGCAAGCCCCTGACGTCCTCGAGACGCTGAGAGACCCAAGTAAGGTCACTTGGGAAAGCATCGTAAAAGCTATCGAAGAGGAGCGTCTGGGGCCTTACGGAACGTTCCGTGGTGCCCTCGACGGCGAATGGTTGGCGAGTGAGCCTGACCCGATGACTTGGCAGCGCTCCGGCGGGTTTGCAGACGGCTTGCGCAAAGCTGGCGTGAAGTATCTGATCGTCGGAGACCTCAGCGAGGAGTGGTACCTCTATGCGATCGCCCACCCCATCACCACACCCGCAGACGTCAAAGAGAATTTGTACCGCTACTATCCTGAGAGCATCGTGCATGCGCTCTTGGAGGTGTACGACGCAAAGTCGGTGTTGGAGAATGCGAGTGCAGAGAAGTGTGTTGAATTCTTTGGGAGGGTCGCGGCGGATATGCAGGTGCATGTGCCGGTGCGGATGTTTGCGAGGGATCTGGAGAGGAGTGGGTTCCCGGTGTTGAGGTATAGTATACGGTGGACGCCGGAGCAGATTAGAGAGATGTATAAAGGTGAGATAGAGAAGCGTAGTTTTGGTTTTAAAGGAGGAATGTGACTGATAGCTCTGTAGGATACGTGACGCATGCGACGGACCGCGTGCTCTGGTGCTATCGCGAACCGATTCTTACGAAAGAGCAGCTGGCCGTTGCGAGAGAATGGTTGGATATCGTCGACAGCGAGAGCCGTGCTATCGCGAACGGACTGAAGAAGAATCCCGACGAAGCGTTAGTCCTCAACGAAGACAAGTCCATTTCGTGGAGAAAAGACGCGCAATGGGACGAGCTGCTGCGTGTCGCGAAGATTCTTCCTGGAGAGAATTGAGGGCTAGGTAGTATGTACATGAATGCAAGATAACAAGAAATGATATTTACGGTCGGCGATCACCAAGAAAGAGGACTCTCATCCGCCCTTCTTCTCTCAGAAATCGAAGTCCACTCTTTCCCCAAGGTCGTACTTCGTAGTGATCAGTCGATGCGACATCAGCCAGTACGCATCGTCGTTCGGGAAGTCGGAGGGGCTGCGGAAGCGTATCTTCTCTCGAGACCAGGGTTCGGTCTTCCCCGCACGCCGGCGGATGTTCCTGATGTCGTGCACGTCGCTGTTGAGACATGCGAGTTCCAACGAGCGAATTTGCCAGAGGTCGTTGAGTGTTGGGAGGGGTACGACATATCTGTGGTTTTCCAGCGGTCGGTGGTTGGAGAGCCAGAGGAACTTGAGACCGGTGATGTAGGGCAGCAGCTCGTATGTCTGTGAATGAGAAGAAGTCTAAGCATCGAAATGACGTTGAGAATGCGACGCTTACTATTTGAGAGCAGGACATCTCAGCCAGTCCTGAAATTCGTAAAGAAGTGCAATACCAGGAGATGCCGTTCTCGTAGATGTCGTTCAACGCCTTCTCGAGCACCAGCGGCGAGAGACTCGGAAAGGAGAACCCGAGAGCCTTCGCAGCTTTGAGTTTGCAGATCGCTTTCACGACGTTCGGAAACCACTTGTCGTTGTCGTACGTGTACATATTGGAGCCTCCCCGTTCGAAATATAGCGACGGTTCGAGAGAGAAGTCGAACCGATCGAGATCCGGGTGGAGGGAGGTGAACTTGAGGAGAGTTTGAGATTCGGCGAAGAAGTCGCGCCGGCCTCTCGTGCGGGCGTTGAGGGATGTGGGGAGGGAGATGATGAGCTTGAGGTCGCGCAGGGCGGGGAGGGAGGCATCGTTCAAGTTGACGTCGCTGCTACTCCCGCGTCCGACAGGAAGAAAGGAGAGTGTATCGCAGTCGGTGACGATGAGGGAGCGGAGGGCGTCGGCGTGTTGGAGGAAGAGGTCGAGGCCTTTGCAGGTGCCGGCGCGGCTGATGAAGAGGTGGGTGAGGGTGTGGGCGGAGCGGAGGATGTTGACAGAGCTTGCGAGGGCGCCCGGGAGGGAGAGGGAGGCGAGGGTGTTGCTGTGCGTGTTGAGGAGGGTTTGGAGGATTTGTGGTGAGAGGTCTGTTGGTGGATCCCATTCGCCGGTGTGTTCGTTTGGGTCGACGAGTTCGAGGGCTCGTAGGTGGTGAAGATTGCAGAGGGTCGTCGCTGTTGAGTCGTCCAGTCTATCGAAAGGATGCGTTAGAGCTTCGAAGTTAGAGTGCTAGAACTCACCCTATAACGGATGCTGAGAGGAGAGATGGACAGTATTGCGTCAAAGCCTCCGCAACGCGAGAAGAGAACGCAGGCGATCCTCCTAACCACTGGAAACACTCGAGGTTCGTGAGTTTCGAGAGCAGAAGCCCGACATGATCTATCGTTCTGTCAGCGGTCATCGTAAAAGAGCAGAGAATTATTACGCACAGAGTTCGAAGACGAGAAATGACTTCGTGAATGTGAATATCGTCAACCTCCGCACCACACCAGCCAACATCGGGTTCCCCGCCAACCCAACGAGAATGTCCAACGACCGGTTTGCATTAGCTTCGACTTTCGCCTCGTTGATCTCCTTCAGCGTTTCTCCGCGATCTTCTTCAATTTCCCAAACGCCCAGATGGATGGAGACTGTTCGGAAGAGCAGCAAGGACGAAAGACGGCGCAGTTGACGCGAAACGAGGGACGCGTTCTTCAAGTCGTCAAAGTCGCATCGTGAAAGAATCTCTACGGAGATTTCTGCTGGTCCGTGAAACATATCTCGTGTATAGATTGGGAAGGGAGCTCGAGATGGTGGTCGTTCGTGTCGAAGTCGTCGCGAGCCACGCACACTTGAGCTTGAGCCGCGTCGGACACTTCAATGCTTGGAAGATTTCTACAACGCCGTCGTCTACACCGGAGTATGTCTGTCCAGAGAAAGTTGAGATGCGAGATGTTGAGAGGGGAGAACGAGATGGTGGTGGTTCGTGTCAAAGTCGCGCAGAGTCGCGTATTAGCAGCGCGTTCTTGATGAAGTTGATCGTGACCGCGTCGAACTCCGACTCTGACTCGGGCAATCTTGAGAATTTTCACCAGCATCAACCTCGTCGATTACACAGAACAGTTATTTGGAAATCGACGACGACGAAATACATGAAGTGACCGGGAATTGAACCTAGAACCCGACGTTTTTGCAGCCACTCGCAGCACAAATTTCAATCAAGCCCGCGTCGATTACCCTTCCATGTTTCGTTTACAACTGGCGAATTATACACTCTACCGTACAAAAAAAACAAAAAATAAGATGAACAAAAGGTTCTCCGACGTTCAGACAACAAAAAAATGTTTAAAAAAATCGGGCCTGACCGGGAATTGAACCCGGGGCCACTCGCATATGGTCACGTGACTTCCCAATTCGGGAAGAACTCGAAAGCCCGAAGCGAGTATCATACGACTAGACCATCAGGCCGATGTAAACTTCTCATCATGTCAAGTATATAGAGCGATTCAAAGCATGCGTCTTCTGGTCAGTTCAATATTCGACAAGAAATTTTCCTCCTCTCTCCCCGACCACAATGATGGAACGCGGGCCTCTGGTTTATACATCTCAACGCGGATCTCTGGCAACGGATTCTTAGCTGCCCAAGATTCCGGGCCACGAAATGATGACACGAGAAAATGAATCGTCTCCTCAGATTAGAACTTTTGCTTCTGCTGGCAACTCAACTCTACCTGAAGGCCAGTTTCTCAACGACGAAGACACTTGGAGGGCTCTACTGCTCTTCTGCGTTCCAGCATACTCGGCGGACGAACTATATAACGACTTTCAGCCGAAGACCAAGACGAGATGTGGAAACGGGAACGAACTGCTCTTCGACCGCTTTGCCATGCTCCATCGGACGCCGATGCCCAGTTGTTCAGCGAATTGGTTTGTGGGTCCACCGAGGCAGGGATTCTCCTGATTCAAACGACCGAATTAATCCTCAAGAACAAGACATGCGCTCCTCTGTCAATCCTTGACAACCACCTCGTTATGCTCCCCTTCGGACTCAAATACTCAGTCATCCAACGAAACCGTCTGTGGGTCCACCGAGGAACGAAACTGAAGCGAACATAAGGCGTACAAACCATCGTTGAAGCACGTATCACTCTCCGTATTGTCTGCTATCCTATTGCCCTTGATCCTGTTGCTTTGTGGGCGTCGATGCTTCCACTTTCGACGAAACGACCCTCAACACCTCCTCAATCCTGGCCTAGTCGAATAGGTGGCTAATTCCCGTTCGCTCCAGTTGGTGTCGCTGGGCTGAATCTTTTGTACTCGATGCTCGAAGGAAAACATACTTATACCGGACATGAAGAAGAGAGCGAAATCATCATCATCAGTAACAAGTTCTCTGGCCTGGCGCCTTCTCTAGTATCAAATCTCTTCGTCTTCTAAACTCGCTCTCGGACTATCGATTATCTATCTTTACGCACGATGGCGCAACCCCCAGCCCCCCAGTTTCATCGCGAGCGCGTTCCCGCCAAAGTGTTCTCCCCAACGTTGGCACAGGGCTATCGTTCGGATATCGCGAATGCGCATAACTACGAAACGATGGCGCCCATCTATTTCGGACCTCAAGGAGCTCGTCTCACTGACATCCTCCTTCACGGGACCAACGCGATTCCGGGAGGTAGTGATGAAGTAATGAACACGGCGCCGTATGGTATTATCAAGTTTTACTTCACGGTAAGCTCGTTATCATGTCATAATGCCGAAATTTGTTTTCTTTCGTACTCAATCTTTACTCTCCCCGATGTAGTGGCCTGGATATCCGCATTGTGAACAGCTCGTCACATACGACATGTATACCGGCGGGAGCCGCCCAACTCGCGCGAAGCTCGCCTGTGCAGCTGCAAGTCTGTTTGTGAGGTTCATGGAGGTCCGTAGTTCTTCTCAATCCGCGATTTTTCTCACTAGCACTATCTGAATCCATTTTCTTTGTTTCAGAGGTGTAAAATGTTCAACGTTCTTCCTGGAGCCGAGAAATGGCGCCTCGCTTTGGACGGACTTCAAGCTCATAACATCTATTTCATGAGCCTTGTCAACACGCACCAGGATGTTTGGCAAGTGAGCTGCGACGTTGTCATTTAATCGTTGGGCTCTCAAACGCTCTCAGCGTCGATATCTTTATTGCTGTAATTGCGGTCGAGTTTTGTGTCTATTTGCTCTGCTGTCGATATTGCTGTCTTGCTCTCATGTTTAGTAAACCTGCTGTCCTCGCTGTCCAATATTATGCTATCTAGTGCTTTCTAACGGCCAAATCTCTGAGCTCCATGCTCTTTTTCTTCCGAACATGTTCTCGATCATTTGACGAATTATTTGACGGGGACAGCGCTCATCGCCAGCGTTGCCGCCAAGCGGTGCACGCAACGCACCACCGTGACCACGACCACCACGACCACAACTTCTCCTCCTCGTCGTCGTCGTCGTTGTCGCCGTCGCCGACATGACGTCGCTCACCAAGATCCTGCATGACAGTGCGTAACGTCAATCTTACGCAAGTGCATTCCTGACGTGTCTTTCCGCAATTCGTAACTGCATCGGGCGCACCATCTCTGACGATCGTGCAGAGATCCTCCTCGAAATACGCAACGTGAACGCAGGACAGGGACAGAGATACAAGCCTCTCATCGTCGACAAGCATTCAGAGGAGCTTTTGTATTCTGTTTGCGACAAGTTAGAAGTGCTGGATGCCAGCGTCTCCTGTGCGTTGTGACCTCTATGTCCACGAAGCACCGCTAACCCACTTGCTCGCATTGTCTCTAGACGTCGTAAACATCAACGATGTCAAGGCAGCACCAGAGAGCGAGGCTATCTACCTCCTCATGCCGACGAATCAGAACGTCGACCGCGTCATATCGCACTTTAGCGGCGGGAGGAGGATGTTTGCAAAGGTGCATCTATTCTTCACAGAAGGTGCACATTGTCGTCGATCATTCATCGAAAGCAGGTCGATCTGACGCTCGAGCTATCGTAAAGGTCTCCCGGAATCTCTCTTCAAGCGTCTGACGAACTCGCCTGCTTGCGATTTCCTAGCACGGTTGTCTGAGCTGAACATTAACTTCCTGGGTGCGTGTCCGTCTCTGTGGTGCATGCAACCTCCTGATCGCGTTCGTATTTGTTAGTGAAGGAGTCTCAAGTCTTCGTCGCCAACCTCCATTCCGCGTTCTTCAGCATGTACTGCCCTCCGCCCAGCCAACGGGATGTGGTCGCCGCGCGCGAGTTTCTGACGGAGGATCTCAAATTCACAAGTCGCGTCGTACGTGCTCGCGCCCTGCCATTCCACCCAGAAAACTCACGACTCCTATCTCTCAGATCGCAAACGCATGCATAACGCTGAACGAATTCCCATTCATACGTTACTACTCCCCCTCACACCACGCCCCGCTCGGCGTGCTCGCTCCCCAATTCTCCGATCCCTCCTCTTCCACCACGTCCAACGAACCATACGCTCCCCGCCAACCTCCATCACGATACCAACCCTCTCCCGGTCCTTCCTCTTCATCCACCGCGCTCGGCAGCTACGCCGAGAACACCAGCAAATGGGCTGCTAAGCTCTCGAGTCGCGCTGGGTCGCTGGCGCGGAGTTACGGGTCGGACAGTGGGAGCGGGCAGGAGTCGGGAGACCATGTGAGCAAGGTTCTGGCGATGATGGTGCTGGAGACGCTGGAGGAGTACCAGAAGGCGAACCCTGACTGGCCTAGGGCGGATACGGTAAGCAGCATGATTGGCGTTTGCTTAAGAGGCTCATGATCGTATTACAGGGTGATGGACGCGCGAGACCACGGGGGACGCTGCTCATCACCGATAGAGCAATGGATACGATTACACCCTTCGTGCATGAGTTCACGTACCAGGCGATGGCGTACGACTTGCTCGAACTCAAGGACGACCAGTACAAGTAAGTAATTGCTATTTCTCATTGTCAATGCGCTCACTGAGATACATTTAGATATACCTTCGTAAACGAGAAAGGCGCAGACGAGGAGACGTCTATACCAATCAACGAAAAGGATGATATCTGGGTCGAGACGAGGCATCTTCACATGCGGGAAGCGATCGACAAGTTGCAAGCAGATTTCAAAGCATTCGCGGAGAAGAACGTACAGGCGACTGCGTGCGTCATTCCTCTTTTCCTGGTTTCATGATCTTTCGGGATCTGACGCAAGAACAGCGGGACAGCGAGCCTCGATAAGCTGAAAGACATGTTAGCTCAATTACCCCAGTTTAAGGAACAGCGAATCGCGGTGCGTAATCGTTTCTTCGTTGAGCCAGCTTGGAGATGATTACTTATTCATTCATAGTTCTCGAAACACCTTTCTTTGGCCGAAGAATGCATGGCACTTTTCGGAAAGCGCAAATTACCCGATGTCGCTCATATCGAACAGGTATTTGGCAATAACAACCAAATTATCTCTATTTAGACCTTGACTTCGACTAGTGCTGCGCGACGGGCGTTACGCCGGAAGGAAAGACGCCTAAAACTCTAGTGGAGGAGATGGTGCCCTTATTAGACAGTCGAGACGTTCCGTGAGTTCAAGTTTCTTTTGCCATAATCTGACGAGCACAAGACAGTGCAATTGACGAATCTCGGCCACAGACCCTTGGACAAGGCGCGTATTATCGCTCTGTATATCCAATACAGAGAAGGTGTGCCAGAGGAGGATCGCCGCCGATTATACCAGCATGCGAAACTCAACATTCCTGAACGCGATGCCATCGACAATCTATCTTTATTGGGCACGAGGGTAACACGAGTAAGTAGTCGAGCAATCGGCTTCGCGGATAATAGCTGACTTTTCTCTGCGAAAAAGGGACCAAACGACAAGGATGTTCGCAGAAAGCTTAAAGCTAGACTTAATTCGGAGAATGACTTTGACTTGTCGCGGTATAAGCCTCTGCTGAAGACCGTCATTGAAGTAAGGAATAAAATTTCGCAGTCGTTTCTTTTTTTCACTTACTCTTGGAACAGGATAGCGTCTCCGGAAAATTAGACCAAAGTGTCTTCCCATACCTTCGTGATTCACCAAACTCTCCGGAGGCACCCTCAAGTCTTGCGCCAGCGCCGACTGGGCCGACGGCACGCCCAGGTCAAAGGGTTATGCCCTTGGGAGGTTCCCAACCGACATCATTGCGAAGTGCGAAACCGAATTGGCACAAGGCCGCTCGACCAGGTGGTGGAGGGGGAGGAGGAGGAGGCTATGGTGCTGCCTCGAGGGAAAGGCTACTCGTCTTCGTCGCTGGAGGGATGACATACTCGGAGATCCGAACGGCTTACGAGACGACGGCTGCTCTCAACCGAGATGTGTACATAGGTGCGTTTCGTCGTCGTCGTCATGTTACTCTCCCCGCATTGCTTCCCCGCATTTTCATCCATCCTTTCTTTCTGATTCCCCGGGCGCTCACTTTGTTTTCTTTGTTTCGCA